CAGTGTGGTGATGTGGAAGATGATGGAAATTTTAAGAGGTGGAGCCTAATGAGAGGATATTCCTTAGTGTGGGGATCTTGGTCTCCTGGAGTGAGCTCTAGCAAGAATGACTTGTAGAAGGCTGAGCCTGATCCTTGATGTGATCTCTCTCTTTCACACCTCCTCCTACCATCAAGCAGAAGGCTTTCACCAGAGCTGAGCTAGTGCAGCTGCCACACCCTTGTACCTTCAGAACTATGAGCTAAATACACGTATTTTCTTAATAAAGTTAGCCTGCCTCAGGTATTTCATAATAATAACGTAAAATGGACTAATGCAGATGTGTAATCTGAAACTGAAATCCTTTGGTCTGTTTTGTATTTTGAGTGTGCCTTTTTGCACCTGCATATTTTGTGATCTTGTGGATTGGTCACTTGGAAAACTGTTTCACTGAGTTATGCAAATCTTCCAAATGTTGACATATTTCCTTATACAATATCAAAAACTGCATCTCATCAGAAAAAAATCTTCAAGTATTAGAAGCTGCCAAGCTCACAGTGGCAGATACAGATTTTCCAAATCTTCCTGTTTGCATGAAAACCTGAAGTTTATCATTGGCAAGAAAAATGTTTGCCAAAATAATGAATTCTGAATAACCATAATCTGATGGCCAGTCATCTTTTCAGGCAACATTTTTTTTAAATGAAAATGTTGCTAATTCAGCTTGCAGTGAAATAATCACAAGTGTTTTTCCTCAAGACAAACCACAGTCCTTTGGTATGCAGCAAAAGAGCTTTGTGCATACTTTCTGTTTCTTCACAAAGATTATTGAGGTGTGTGCTCAAGGGTGCAATGTAATACAATTAGTCCTTTTTTCTGTTTCATTAATTGATGGTGCAACACTTGCCTTTGTTAAAATCATGACTGCACAGGACTGGCGAACACAGTGGTTACCAAGGATGGTTTGGTGTTTTGCTGCTTCAAGTTGTGGTAAGGACCACAGTTTGACCCAACATGACTCGTTTTTTTTTTTTTTTTCCCCTTTCCACCAATCTTAATATCTCAATATAGTGAAGAGGCAGACCATGTCTCAGTAGTGTTATGAAAATAGTTTTTTTTTTTTTTGACAGGCAGAGTTAGACAGACAGAGAGAGAGAGAGAGAGAGAAAGGTCTTCCTTTTTCCATTGGTTCACCCCCCAAATGGCCACTATGGCCAGCGTGCTGTGCTGATGCGAAGCCAGGAGCTGGGTGCTTCCTCCTGGTCTCCCATGCAGGAGCAGGGCCCAAGCACTTGGGCCATCCTCCGCTGCCCTCCCAGGCCACAAGAGAGCTGGACTGGAAGAGGAGCAACTGGGACTAGAACCCTGGGGTGCCGGCATCACAGGCGGAGGATTAGCCTAGTGAGCCGCGGTGCCGGCCTGAAAATAGTTTTGACTTCATGGATAACTGAATCAGTCTTAGGACCTGTGAGGGTCACACTTTGAGAAGCAACACATATGAGGCTGGGATACCAAATGGCTATGGAATGCCAGGAGCTCCAGGTGTTTGGGCTTAGTTCTTGTTCTCAGTGGCTGGCCATGATGGAATGGCTGAGAGGAGCTCTATGTCGTCTTCACTCTGGGACTGAGGGTATGGAGCTACAGAGTTTTAAGGAATAATCATTGACTTTCTCAAAGGTTTTCAATGCAAAATTACCAAATTCCTCATGCTGTTGAGTGGCCTCCTCATTGATTTTTCCTAGTATATAATAAGCTTCATGAAAGCAGGGACTGAGAATTACTCGCTTTGGGAATAGCTAGATTCCGATGCTCATTTGATTGTCAGAATTGGTTGCCTCTTCCCTGGAGCTGATTCTTATCGTCTCAACAAGAGTCATGTGTTCAACTTGGACCAATCACTGTGACCAGGAGGTTGTAGTGCTCTGATAGGCCAGGCTAGAAGATACTCCCACCTATCACTGACCACATGAGAAACAGAAGGCACTAATCTACAGGAGCTTCAGAATCTACTTCATGGGTCAGTTGTTGCTCTTAAGAAGAGTGCAACTGGGCCGGTGCCGTGGCTCACTTGGTTAATCATCTCCTGCGGTGCTGGCATTCCATATGGGTGCCGGGTACTAGTCCTGATTGCTCCTCTTCCAGTCCAGCTCTCTGCTGTGGCCTGGGAGGGCAGTGGAAGATGGCCCAAGTGCTTGGGCCCCGCACCTGCATGAGAGACCCAGAAGAAGCACCTGGCTCCTGGCTTTGAATCGGCACAGCGCCAGCCGTAGCGGCCATTGGGGAGTGAACCAACGGAAGGAAGACCTTCTCTCTCTCTCTGTCTCTCACGGTCTATAACTCTACCTGTAGCTAATAATAATGAATTAATGTGTACTGTGGCAGGAAGCACTTTCATGTATCACTCTGTGAAGCATGATTCTTTGTTTAGATCAAGTGACTGCTCTTCTAAATTAACTGCTCATTTTCAATACTGTTTTCTTGTGCAATACGAGTTATATAACAATGCATTGACTACATTAAGAAGAATCATACAAAGAGTAAAATGGGTGCCAGCTTTATATTTATGCTTAGATGATTCAAATAGAAAAATTAATTGCCATAATTCATTAACTTCTATAATGGTTTGAATTTTTAACCCAAGTATTGGAAACAAACTAAATTTGGAAATTCAGTACATTGAAGGTGGAATATTTGATATTATCATGGATGTTGTACATTAAGTTAAAAAGGTCAACATTAAAGATAAAATTATGTTTGAAAGGCAATAATCCAGGTAAAATTTTGTTGTTACACAGTTTCAAGGTAACACAAACTATTTCTTAATGATGAAGACTGTGAAGCAAAATAGTACTTTGAAGTAGTTGTATGGTACATGATTCACAGTTGCACTCAAATAAGCTGTGATATTCAAATAGATCTTTGTCCATACAATTTTACATAATTTTCATATAAACTACAAAAGTGTGTTAAGACTAATATTTTATTAAAGAACCCTCTTCTGCATGGCAGTATATACCTTTTGCTTAGCTCCCTGGTAACAGTCAGATATTAGAAATGTTTGAATCTACAGACAAGAGTCAATTGAATCTGTTGGCCATTACAAATTTATTTAACTTAAAATGCAACTTGGAAGAATAGTGCAGGCAATTTTATGAAAATATTAAATGTGATTAAGCCATTCATTCTTTAGAAAATATCCTTGATATTATAAGAGAGAAGGATATGGTTAAAAAATTGATGGAAGTGGATAATGATGTATGAGGAATAATTATTCTGCTAGTTATTTTTAACATTCAGAAAATCAATGTAAAGGAATCCTCCCCCTCTGGTCATGCATGAGTTTTTTTTAATTTATTTTTTTGAGGAAAATACTTTAGAAGACAGTTTTAAAATAGAACTATTTTATAGGCCTATCAATTTAATGAAACCAATTTGTTGCTCAGGAAATACATAGTTTAAAAATCATATAATTACTATTATTAAAAAAAACTATTTACTCTCAAAATGCCCTAGTTGTAAAGATAAATTATATGGTCATTTTAGGACTAGGGGGATCAGCCTCACTGGAAGTCCACAAACTGAGGGTGAGGAAGAGGAGTTCTGCCAAGAAATACATGTGATGATGGCATGGATGCTAAGAGGGCAAAACCAACATGTCTACCATAGCCTTAGATTAGGACCTGCATTTTCTGGCCTTACCTCTGATGCTCGAATACTACATTTAACTTTCCACAGTTCTCCACTATTTTTTTGTAAAAGATTTTTATTTATTTATTTGAAGAGTTACAGAGAGAAAGGGGGAGAGAGGGAGAGAGAGAGAGAGAGAGAGAGAGAGAGGAGATCTTCTATCCATTAGTTCACTCCCCAGATGGCTGCAACCATCAGGGCTGAGCCAGGCTGAAGCTAGGAGTCAGGAGCTTCATCCAGGTCTCCCATGTGAGTGGCAGGGGTGCAAACAGTTGGGCCATCTTCTGTGGCTTTTCCCAGGTGCATTAGTAGGAAGCTGAGTTGGAAGTGGAGCAGTTGGGACACAAATCAGTGCTCAAATGGGATGTCAGCATCACAGGTGGCAGCTTAACCCGCCATGCCACCAAGCCAGCCCCAGTTTTCCACTCTTACGTTATTCCATTTCTTCCCCATGCAATTCAGTCCACCAGCTCCTCCCTACAGCTCCCAAGCACACAGCTTCTCTTCCTGCCCTGACAGCAGCCCAGAGAGGTTTAATCTATAAATGTCTCTAAGAGCTACAGCAAGCTCAATTCCCTGCAAAATAAATTCATAAAACTGAAATCATTGTTCTCAGCCAAGTGAGTGAAAGCGAAGCCAGGCAGAAGTTGTCAAACAAAGCCTCAGGAAAAACGAGAAGAGACTGTAAAATACTTAATATGTAAGTGGTATATATTTCAGCAGCTTCTCCCTGTCCTCCAACCTGTGGGTTTTGTTTTTATTTGTCATAGTAAGTTGTGGTTGCCAAAGCAAAACAGTCACTCCATTAATTATAAAGCAAGGGGGAAAATGGGTATTGATCTGAAGTAGTTCCATTCTACTTGCTCAGTGTTAATTGAAAGTTACTCCTCTGATGCCACTTAAAAGAAATCTTCTTAGAAACTACAGAAAATAATGTTTAAAATATTCATTCAGGGTTAAGCAAACTCAGAGTTGAGCCTTTTATAAAAAAGATTTTTTAAAATCAGGACTGGATTTTATGTAGAACAAAATGATTCTTTAGTTCCCTTTATGTCTCATGGTTCAATAGCTTACTTGCTGATGTGCATAACCGGGGGTGATCACAGTGTTTGTGCAAGGATACTGAGCTGCCTCCCTACCTGTCATTCATTGATTTATTCAGTCCCTCTTTCTAGCTCACAGGCTCTTGACTCCAATAGTGATAGGACACCAGTTTAGGTGTAACAATATTTGGGATGTAATAATAATTTTGGCTAATGTTTACAGAGAGCTTACTGTTTGCAATATGCTGTTCAGATTGTTTTATGGACATGAAGTCATTTAATTCACTACAGCTTATCAGAGAGATATGGACATCACTTCTGCTTTACAGAAGAGAAAACAGATACAGAGAAGAAAACTTGCCCAAGTTCACTCACCTGATAAGTGGTGCAGGTAAGATTTGAACCCAGGCACCCTTGCTTTACAGTCTGAGCTTTTAACTGCTAGCTGCCTGCGGTTACTCATATTCCATGGTTTGTCTGTATCAGCATCTGAGGTGGCCTGTGCTGACTACAAAATTGCTTAGCTGATAATTTCTGTACCCATACCCTGGAACAAGAGTTGGATACAACTGGAGTAAGCACACTTGATGCAAAAACTATGAAGGTCTTTGACAGTTCTTTTCCATTTCTTTTTTTTATTTTTTATTTTTTTGATAGGCAGAGTGGATAGTGAGAGAGAGAGAGACAGAGAGAAAGGTCTTCCTTTTGCTGTTGGTTCACCCTCCAATGGCTACCGCGGCTGGCGCACCGCGCTGATCTGATGGCAGGAGCCAGGTACTTATCCTGGTCTCCCATGGGGTGCAGGGCCCAAGCACTTGGGCCATCCTCCACTGCACTCCCTGGCCACAGCAGAGAGCTGGCCTGGAAGAGGGGCAACCGGGAAAGAATCCGGCGCCCCGACCGGGACTAGAACCTGGTGTGCCGGCGCCGCTAGGTGGAGGATTAGCCTATTGAGCCGTGGCGCCGGCCTCCATTTCTTTTATAAAGAATCAGTGACAACCTTTTTGCAGAAGTGGCTAAAGCTCTGTTCAAGCCAGTTCTGGATTATCTTATTTTACTCTCAGTGTCTTAGTGTACGCATGTACTTAGGAGTAAGGAAGACCTTGTTTGCTATCCAAGCTTCACCACCAATTTTGTCACCAGGAAAGTGAGGATGTCTGTGGCAGTGTTGCAGAGGCTGTGGTGTCTCAACTTCGGGAATGTTGTACAACTTATTTTTGCTGTAATTCAGTGAATAATTTAGTGTTTATCACAGGAGTATTACAGATATCACTTCAGTAATAAATGGAAGTGTTGGGACATACTGGATTTCACTGGCTCTGAGAACATTTTCCACATTTTAACTTCTCCCAAATTAGGATGTGCCCCACAACCAATGGCATATTGCAATAGATGGCAATCAAGATGTTGTTGTCATTGCTTATGGAGCTGAGGACTTGGTTTTTATTCCAGGCTCCTTCAAATAATGAATATGATAAGTCCTGATTTCTGTTTGAAAACCTTCCATTGATACATTTGAAAAAAAAAATTTTGAGTTTGTTTACTTTCATTTACTTGAAAGTCAGAGTCAGAGAGAGAGAGAGAGAGAGAGAGAGAGAGAGAGAGAGAGAGAAACAAGATAGACAGATATCTTCCATATGCTGGTTCACTACTCCAATGACCACAAAGCCAGGGCTGGGCCAAGCTGAAGCCAGGATCCTGGAACTCCATCTGGGCCTCTCACATGGGTGGCAGGGACCCAAGCACTTGAGCCTCATCTGCTGCTTCTTGGGATGCATTAGAAGAAAGCTGGATCGGAAGTAGAGTCACTAGGTCTTGAGCCAACACTGACCCATTCTTAACCCACTATGCCACAACCAACCCCTCCATTAATTCCTGTCAGTAGAATGATGTTTCAGCACCAAAACTCGCAAATTAGGTGTGTGAGGGTTTTGAAGGGACATACCCAAGGCCAACAGAATAGCATTTTTTTTTTTCAGGGAATGCTATATCAACAATGCATTTGATGGCATGGGGAATGATATTATACAGACAAGGGAAAAATGGACATTAACCAGTACAACTCAAAAGGAATTTAGAAGAGTTGGACACTGAAGTAAGCATTTTAAGTAGTATGTTAAGCGATTGATTTTGCCTATGTATACCTTTTTGTGTACAAGAATGATCCATGATAAGCTAGGGTTTTTAGTATCAACTAGTCTAATCCTTGTAGCAATCTCATGAGATAAGTATAATCATTTAACAAAGGAGGAAAGAGAGTTTGTGTAAATCCAGCCCATCTGGATCCAGATCCTGTGTTCTCAAACATCATCCTGCACTGCTGCTGTAGGCGCATTGCAGTCACTCAAGAAATGACCATGACTGTCCAGCATCGGTATCCACGAGGGAGGGAGTAGTTCCAGGACCCCTTGTGGGTACTGAAATCCCCCATGGGTGCTCAGGCTGTTTCTCTTCAATGGCCTGTGATTTGCATAAGGCCTACACAGATCCTCCTGGATACTTTAAATGATCTCTAAATTGCTTATAACACCTAATAACAGTGTAAATGCTGTGAATAGTTGTACTGTTATTAGTTAGGGAATAATGACAAGGGTGTGTACATATTCAGTATGGACGCAGTTTGTTTTGTCAAATATTCTTAATTTAAAGTTGGTTGAGTCTATGTATGTGTAACCTGTGGGGCTGTCTGTATTATTACCATTAAGTGTCTGATATATACAACATATTACTTCAAATGCTTACTTCAGTGTCCAACTCTTCTAAATTCCTTTTGAGTTGTACTGGTTAATGTCCATTTTTCCCTTGTCTGTATAATATCATTCCCCATGCCATCAAATGCATTGTTGATATAGCATTCCCTGAAAAAAAAATGCTGTTCTGTTGGCCTTGGGTATGTCCCTTCAAAACCCTCACACACCTAATTTGCGAGTTTTGGTGCTGAAACATCATTTACTTGGAATTTCATCCTGTTCCTCATGAATATAAACATATTTAAAAGCTTTGACTTAAATGCAGCATCTGAGTTAAAATATTTCAGAACAAGAGCTCGACTGGGGACACTTCCTCTCCATTTAAATTGTCTCAGTCTTTGTATGGGTCTACACTCTGATAGATGCATGCGGATGTTTAATTTTAATATAATTATAATGAAATCTGGCTCAGTAGCACCATTTACTGTCAAGAGCTTAGTAGGCACTTGTGACTATCCAGTACACTGACGGCTTATACACACAAAGTTCTCTTGGACAGCAGTGGTCTGGGTTTTGGTCCAACACCACCCTCTCCTAAAGTGATCTCTAGGAGCTTAGATGTGCCTTCCTTGCTCATTCATTTGATATTTGCTGGACACCTTCCTTGCACCCAATGTCGGGTGGTATGACAATGAGCAGAAGCCAGAGGCCACCCCCTCCATTCTTGCAGTCTTCCTCCAGCCTCAAAAACTCCCTTCCACGCCACAGTCTGCTTGCTTTTTGAGGGATCTATTGCAGAATGTTCTGAATACATTCTTTTCTCATTGGAACTTGCCAGGAACAACTCGTCCCCTACAAAAATAATCTCATTGCTCTTTAGCACTCACAGGGAGCCTCTGCTACGTGGCTACTGCCTCCATCTCCAGCCTTGGTGCTCTCTAGCCTGCAGCTTCATGGATGAATGCTGCCAGGGACCCTCCTGGGCATTGCAACTCTCAGACCCAGGCTCAGAAGGCCTGATTTGCAGCTTTGCCCTCCCAGGCGTTGAGAGCCAAGAGCCAAGAGCTGGCCCCACAGGCAGGGCTGGTGGCAGTGTCTTCAGAGTTCTCCCCAACTGCACTGTTCCCCATCTTCATCTCAGCTAATTCCGACTCATGCTCTAAGAGGTGGCTGAGATGGCACTTTCGTTAGCACATCCACTTGAATCCCCATGACACACTGTGTGCTCTTTCTCCCCAGTGCTCTTGTAGTACCTGATTGCAGACTATTTAAGTACCGACTGTGTCGGTCAATTATTGCTAAGGTCTGGGGGTACAAAGACAAATGAGACTGACCCCCAACCCTATGAGCTAAGCATTTACAGAGACAGATAGTAAATGTAAGAGAGAAGTGATATGCACATTCATGGAAGGAGCTCAATGCAGGGAGATAAAGATAGTCAAGAGAGGTATTCAGATTGTGACAGTGAGTTATGAAGCCTTCCACTGAGGCCTGGTGTCTGTCATTCCACAAATAGGTGTAAAATAACTCCATGCATAGTGATAGTAGCCAGCAGGTATTGAGCTTGCTTTATATGCCCAGCTGTTCCTGTAGTGGGTAGATCTGTGTGCATTTGATCACTTACACATCATCACTACTGGGGAGTCATGCACTGTGATATCATTTTGCAGGTGAGGAGACTGTGTTTTTTCTCAGTTGTCATAGTCACCCTAGCTAGTCAGGGTCAGAGCAGCATCTGAATTTGGGGCCGACTGAATGAGCTTTGTCCTCTTACATTATGTCAAACTCCCACCCATTATGAATGACATAGGGTTTTGCAGAATAAACAGAAGTTCCTCATGTGGACAACAAGGGTGATGGGCATTCAATGTGGAAGGACAAGCAAAGATATTTTAAAGGTGATGCTCAGGGAGGTTAATTAATTTGCCCAAGGTTATACAGTGAGGATTGAGAGTTTGGACATGTTTCAGAGTACTCATTAAATGCCAAGGCTGGGATGATGAAATGAGAAATGAAAGAAGACTTTTTTCCCCCCAAAAAACCCCTTGTCTCTCCCACATGCTATGTAAAAATGAAAGGACTATTGATTGGTAGGGCAGAAAGTGTAGTTCGTAATGAGATTCCTTCTGAAAATCCTTTAAAGTCTCCATAATTAATTTATTTGGGAGGTGAAACAAACTGTGCACGTGAAATGAGTTAAAATTACGACTGGCCCACACTGGGTCTGCTGCCTGAGGCTGCATGGCCTGATGAAGGGCACTGGGATTCAGGTCCACACACCACCCTTCCATTGCCCTTGCAATCGGATTCTGGGAATCAATTATTGATCACACTGTGGCTGGGGCAGTCTCTCAGCCAATGCAGCTCAGCTTTGCTGTGGCTTCTTCACTTGTTTTTGTCCTGCTCAAGTTAGGCAGGAGGCAAGAGTCTTGAGAGGAGGTGGGGGTGCCTGCCAGTCCTGCTTCTTTGAGTCTTTTCACATGAGATCACAATTTGGGAGCCCTTGATAGTACAACAATGTAAGTGGTTTGGAAATAACGTGCTGAGTTCAAGAGGAGGCCAACCTCAGCTATGCTGAGGCAAGCCGGAGAAGAACAAATATGAGGGGTGTTCAGAAAGTGTGTGGAAATGCACATTATGAAATAGCTATGTGTGAATATTCAAATTTTTTTTGCACCAAAACGAACTCTTATTCAAGTTTTTTTTTTTTTTCACAAACTTGCTGAACTCCCCTCATGCACATATTTTATCTGAGTGTCACAGAGATGGCCATGTAGGTTAAAGCAGTTTTGCAAAATTTTTTTACAAATGCCATCATTTAATCTAAACAACCCTGCAAGAGAGGGTTTGTTATTCTCATTTGATCCAGAGAAAATGAAAGCTTTAAGAGGTTACTAGCTGAGGCAATTTTGAAATCCAGGAGGCCTAACTCCAAATCCGTTGCTTGCTTTCCTATACCGCAGTGTCAAAGGCATCCTTGGAGAAAAGAATTGCCTGAAGGGGTCCCATGGGAAATTATCTCAAGACAATGCTAACTCCACGGCAGGCTCTCTCAAAGCTCATGTAACAGAGAGGCTCAAGGACCAAGGCTTGAATCACTTGGTTGAGTCTATAAATTTCAAACACAGAGCTTGAAGCAAGTGTAGTGGGGTGGAAATTAATGTACTTAGCAGAGTGTGTGAGCAGGGGAGAAGGACCATGCTACCTGAACTCTGGTTTATGCAGGGTTCTTTGTTTCACCTGTCTCTGCTACATCAACCTACTCTGCTGCTGCTGAGGACATGGAGGTCAGAGTTGAGGCCGAACAAGGAAGTTGGCAGATGAAAGGTACCTGGGGTCAACATGGTACAGCAAGAGATGCAGGACAATTGCACCTGGCCCCCGACTGTAACTTGCTGATCACCTTGATGAGAAGGATAAGAAGCTATGGATTTCATCTGGCAGAGGAGCTGTAGCACCAAAGCGAGTGTCAGCAAAGGTGGCTGATTAATAAATATTGGACACTCAGTGTGTATTAAATGTGCTATGATTATTTCAAAGCTCAGGTGCCTCATGGATATTCAGTGAGTTACAAATGTTTGATACCTCTTGATCTCTCCATCTCTTCCTATGTCCAGCACTCAAACACTATACCTTATGGAGGCTAACATGTCTCTATAAGTTACTACTTTGTTTATATATAAGAGGGTATTTTAAAAATTTTATGGAAAAATGGGATGAAAAATATAAGTTTATTTTGGTTAAAATTTTTTGAAATTTATGCATAATTTTTTGGTGGAACATGCCGTTTCCATGAAGTTTGTGAAGCTCACTCATACTTAGTGAAGTCTGCCTGTGTCTCATAAATTATATGTTCTCTACTGAGCTTCATTTATTCTTCCTGCTTGTGGTTCTTATTTTCTCTAGCAGGGCTGGATATATTAAACAGTACAACACAGATTCTCGAAGGGGAATGGTGGTAGAGAGTCTGTGGATGCACTGGTGGGTGGTGGAACCTTCTGGAATAAGGGATACTTAGAGGCTAGTAGAATGCAAGGAAAGTGTGAGATTCGGGAGTGAGATGGGGCTTTAACCCAGCTCCATTGGTGACTGCAGACAGGTTCCTAACCACTCCTACCATCAGTTTCTCCATGTGAAAAGGACATAACCATACCCCTCCTCCACTGTTGGACAGGATAATGAAATGCCATCTCAGGCATCAGCACAAGCCCTGGCTTGCAGCAAAATCTCCGAAATTGACATTTTAAAATGAATAAAGGATCCACTCCCTTCCTGTTGTTTGTAAACCCCATTTCTAACTGTCCCAAAGAGCATGGCTTCACTTACCCACGGACACTTTCCAACCAAGTATCTGCTGGAAGAGTGAATCCAGAACAGACATACTAGAGGCTCTGTGCCTTGCTACTGTGTCTTCATGGTACAGCCAAGGAGGGAAGCACACGTACACTGGAGGCTTGATTTACCCAGGTGGGAGCATAGGCTCTGGCAAGCTTTCCCACAGGTGAGCCTTGAGCTAAAATTTGCAGTGATTGGCATCAGCTAATTCGATCATATAAACTGGGAGAGGAAGGGGGGAGTCCTGCCCCAGGTAGAGGGACGGACGTAGCAGTGGTGAGGAGGGCTGAAGGTGAGAGCCTTGCACTCAGCGAGTCAGGTAAGTCAGCCTGGCTCCAGGATGGGGGCCATTGTTGGGTGACTTCTGGGCACATGTGGGCCAGCCCTGAACTTACAAATGGGCGAGACAGAGGTAGTCTTGAAACAGTAATATTTACCTTTACTTAAGTCTACAAGGTTAAGAACTGCAGTGAAATTAGGAAATTGGCTGGGGAGGGGGAGTGCGAAGTGCTTGTGGGTGTGAGGGTTTTATTTTATTTTATTGTTCAATGTGTAAGATGGTTCTAGTCTCCAATTAGTAATACTCAGTTTAAGGTCACTTTATGCCGGGAAGCTGGCGGGAACTGAGGGTCTGAGCTTCGTCTTCTGGAATGTTTAGTTAATATGTATGAGGTGTAAGGTGAAAGGTAGGGGTCTTGCTTCATGGTTCTGCACGTGGAGATCCATTTTTCCCAGCACCATTTATTGAATAGACTGTCCTTACTCCAGTGGGTATATTCAAACTTGGCAATGTCAGCAGGAACAAAGCAGCCTTATTCCTGTACCCCACCCCCACCCGCTGTGGGAAAGGGTGGAGGTAGAAGATTTAGCACCAGCCACATTCATTCCGATTTCTTCCTGTTGGGCATATCTCCATGTCTCTGATCAGCTGCAATAGGAAGTGGCCTTGAGAGTTGGCGTGGACGTTGTTTTAATGTAAATAGGACTTTTAAGAAATTCTTCCAGGAAGCAACCCTCAGACAAAGTCTCTGACAGGTCTGAGATTTTATTGCATTAAGTATCTCTTCCTGGGGAAAAAGGCAGGGGAGTCTGGCCACCTCTTACCCTAACACAAGCTTCTACAGGAAGGGAAAAGCTGAGGCTTATTACCATCCATTTTAATGTAGCTTTTATTCACTTGGCCATTTGCTAATTTAATAAACATGGCATATTCCCCGTGGCTGATACTCAAAATTGGAGAAGTCAGTTCCGGATGAGCCCAGCCGAGTAGCTCAAACAAAACGCTAAGGTTGTACTTTGCAGTGTGTGGAGGGCGAGAGGGGAGTGCCTGTTCATGTTCTGAAGGAAAGAACCCTTCAGGCTAGAGGAGCCAGCCTGGGATGGAGTCCTGGCTTTCTCATTTTTTGACTATGTGACTTCTCTGTATTCTCTCTGCATCTTGTTTTCCTGATCTGTATAGTTCTTCTGGCTAGCACTGTGAACACTGGGCACTATGAAATATGTAAAGGGCTTAGCTGAGTGCCTGTGATACTAAGATTTCAACTTTAGATGAGTTGGAATCAAGAGAGGAAAATGAAGTGGTGGCCAGGGCTCCAGGGTTCTGGATGCCAAACCTTGCTCAGATGGATGCCTCTGGCCAGGTAGCTGCAGCCACAAGTCCCTGGCCTGATGCAGGAAGGGGTGGGGGCTTCTGCAGAGGCGAGTAGAGGAGGAGGGCGCCACGTTTGACTCTGGCTCTCCTGTATCACTAGGCTGTTATTGGCAGAAAGAAGTCCAAAGAGCATTGCTGGCAAAATTCAGCACTCGGAGATCCAGGGGAAGCTGTAAGTTGTCCCTCATGCTAGGGAAAGGGATGGACTATGAGACTGTTTTACTGCAGGCTCCGGAGAAGGGGAGCTGGGAGCTTCAGATATGCTGATCAAAGCTCTTGATAAACTCAGGTGTGGTCTATACTGTGTTTAGGGTTGGAGTCATGATGAAGGCCAGAGGTGGCCCTGCAGTGTAGGGCAAGGGCTCCAGGCAGTGGACAATCCTGGCCAGGTGCATATGGGGAGAAATTGTGTAAGGAAGAAGTCTAGGACTGGAAGGGTAACAGTCTCCAGTAAAAAGCCAACTCGTGCTGAGAATGGCTTTGTAAAATAGTCACAAATGAGTTCTGTGTAAGAGCAAGAAGATGCAAGAATTGGTCAAATTTATGCCCTTAATAACTATAAACAAACAGTTTAAGGACAACTTTCAAGTAAGTAGATTAATGATATTCAAGGGATAAGGAAAGGAATAGAAACCATTACATAAGAACAGGGAATTATGGAAGTAATCAGGTGGATTTGAGAGAAAACCAAACAGATTCAAGAAATAGAACATGTAGTCATTGCAATAAACAAAACAATTAAGGACGTGTGAAGTGGTGGACTAGAAAAAGCTGAAGAGGGAATTAATGAAATACAAACAGAACTGAGTCAGCCAAAAAAAGGAGTAAACATATGAAAGAGAAATCATAAGAAAAGGGGCTAGACTAGAAAGATTAAAAATGTGTCTAATAAGAGTATCAGAATATTAGATTGGTTATAATGGGGAAGAGGAACCATTTCAAAGTAAAATATAGAATTTACAGATTTTAAAAAATTCCTTATTTATTTGAGAAACAGAGCTTTTTTTTATTTTAATTATTTGAAAGAGTTAGAGAGAGCTCTTCCATCTGCTGGTTCACTCTCCAGATGGCTGCAATGGCCGGAGCTGCGCCAATCTGAAGCTGGGAGCCAGGAGCTTCTTCTGGGTCTCCCATGTGGGTGCAGCATCTCAAGCAGTTGGGCTACCTTCTACTGCCTTCTCAGGCCATGGCGGAGATCTGGATGGACGTGGAGCAGCTGAGACTCAAAACAGTGCCCATATGGGATGCTGGCACTGCAGGCTGGGGCTTTAACCCACTGCACCACAGCACTGTGCCCAGAATTTACAGTTTTGAAGAAAGCTGTACAGCCTCATTAAAGGGGTCTATAGAGTTTTTAAAAATATTAATAAAAACAAATTAATTCATAACCATTCCATAGAAAAATTGCAGAATAGCAAAAGTATCAAATTATGCAAGGGAAAATAGACTTATTTATAAAAATGTATGGTCTTTGTAGAAAACTGAATTATACATGATTGTATTGTTTCATTTTATCAACTACTGTATTTTGGAGTACTTTTATTTTGAGATTATTTTTGTGGTGTACTTTTATTTTGATTATTCCATTCCATGAACATGGAAGATTTTCCCGTTTTTTTGTGTCTTCTATTTCTTTAATATTTTGTAATTCTCATCATAGAGATCTTTGACATCCTTTGTTAAATTTATTCCAAGGTACTTGATTTTTTTTGGTAGTTATTGTGAATGGGATTGATCTTAGAAGTTGTTTCTCAGTCTTGGCATTGCCTGTGTATACAAAGGCAATTGATTTTTGTGTCTTGATTTTATATCCTTCCACTTTACCAAACTCTTCTAGGAGTTTCAATAGTCTCTCTTAGTCTTTTGGAATACCTACATAAAGAATCATGTCATCTGCAGACAGGGATAGTTTGACTTTCTCCTTCTAAATTTGTATCTCTTTGATTTTTTTTCTTGCCTTATGACTATGGCTAAAACTTCCATGATGATATTGAAAAACAATGGTGAGAGTGGAATCCTTGTCTAGTTCCATATCTCAGTGAGATGCTTTCAACTTTTCCTCATTTGATAGAACATTGGTTGTGGCTTTGTCATAAATTGCACTGACTTTTTGAGTGATGTTCCTCTATACCCAACTTACTTAGAGATTTCATCATGAAAGGGTGTTGAATTACATCAAATGCTTTCTCTGAATCTATTAAAATAATCATATGGCTTTTGTTCTTCAGTTTAATGTGCTATGTTGTATTGATTTTTGCCAATGTTGAACCATTCCTGCATACCAGGGATAAATCCCACTTGGCCCAGGGAAATGATCTTTCTGTTGGATTCAACTGGGTGGATTTTGTTGAGGATTTTTGCATCTATGTTCATCAGGGAATTGACCTTTAGTTCTCTTTCTGTGTTGTATCATTTTCAGGTTAGGAATTAAGGTGATCCTGCCTTCATAGAGTTTGGGAGGATTATCTGTTTTTTAATTGTTTTGAATAGCTTGAGAATTGGAGAATTCAGCAGTGAATCCATCTGGTCCTGGGCTTTTTTTTTTTTTTTTTTTGTTGTTGTTGTTGTTGTTGGGAGGGTCTTTAGTGCTGACTCAGTTTCCATCTTGGTTATTGGTCTCCTTAGGTTTTCTATGTCTTCATGGCTCCATTTAGGTAGGTTGTATGTGTCCAGGAATATATCCATTTCTTCAGGTTTCTCACTTTGTTGGCACACAGCTTTTTGTAGTAATTTCCTCAAATTCTTTTATTTCTGTGGTGTCTGTTATATATCTTTTTTCATCTCTTTTTTTTTTAATCTTTTATTTAATGAATATAAATTTCCAAAGTACGACTCATGGGTTACAATGGCTTTCCCCCCCATACCGTCCCTCCCACCCACAACCCTCCCCTTTCCCACTCCCTCTCCCCTTCCATTCACATCAAGATTCATTTTCGATTATCTTAATATACAGAAGATCAGCTTAGTATACCTTAAGTAAGGATTTCAACAGTTTGTTCCCACACAGAAACATAAAGTGAAAAAATAATAGATGATTTTTTTTTAAATCATGATGAAATCAGATCAGACCTATTGTCATGTTTAATCCCAGTGAGAGTCAAGTTGGGAACTTATAATTTCTTTTGGGGGCAGTTTTTTGAGTTCCTCAGAAGATCAGTTTAGTGTACATTAAGTAAAGATTTCAATCGTTTGCACCCCCATAGAAACACAAAGTGAAATATACTGTTTGAGTACTCGTTATAGCATTAAGCCTCAGTGTACAGCACATTAAGGACAGAGATCCTACATGAGGAGTAAGTGCACAGTGACTCCTGTTGTTGACTTTACAAATTGACACTCCTGTTTATGGCATCAATAATCTCCCTATGCACCAGTCATGAGTTTCCAAGGCTATGGAAGCCCCTTGAGTTCTCTGACTCTTATCTTGTTTAGACAAGGTCATAGTCAAAGTGGAGGTTCTCTCCTCCCTTCAGAGAAAGGCACCTCCCTCTTTGAAGACCTGTTCTTTCCACTGGGATCTCACTCACAGAGATCTTTTTGCCAGAGTGCCTTGGCTTTCCATGCCTGAAATACTCTCATGGGCTTTTCAGCCAGATCCGAGTGCCTTTAGGGCTGATTCTGAGGCCAGAGTGCTATTTAGGACATCCGCCATTCTATGAGTCTGCTGAGTATCTCACTTCCCATGTTGGATCACTCTCCCCTTTATTTATTCTATCGGTTAGTGTTAGCAGATACTAGA